GCCTCCCTCAAGTGCATTCTGGGCAAATCCTGCACCACGCAGCTGCCTCTGGAGCCTCTGGTCCTTGACAGCCAGCCAGCCTGCAGATCGGAATTTGGGAATTTCTGTTTGGTGTTGGCTGAAATCAGGGTTGGGCGGACGTTGCCCTCTGCTTAGGTTTGGATGGGTGACAGAGGGGGGAAAGGGAAGTCCGGGGCAGTGAGACCCGGCGTTTGCCTGGGGCTGTGTGTGAAACCCAGGGCTCATCAGGCCTTCTCTCAAAATAAAATAAAAAAACAGCCTAACGTGCCACCAATATGCCACCAGCCCTTCTCTGGGAAATAAATACCTTCTGGTGTCCACCAAGGGACCTCAGGGGCCACCCTCCCGGTCCGTCTTGCTGAAAGGCATTGAATCTGGGGCGAGGCAGGGTGGGCAGACTGTGCTAGCCCTAATGGTGTAAGTAGTAATCGTGGCACGGATGGCCGTTGTGGTATCAGTGATGCTGCCTACCACTCAAGTGGGGAGTGAGTCCACGAAGGGGTATTTGCGATGGGGCACTGGAGGGTCTGTAGGAGTCCGTCAAGCCCAAAGCGCACCCTCTCCCCACTTCCCAGGTGCACCTGATCCTGTGCCAGCCATTCCCGTCTGCGACCTCAGCCCAATGGGGTGGTGACCGTGCCCAGTGGACCCCGGCGGCGCCATGTGGCCCAACAGCAGCGCCCTGGGGCCCTGCTTCAGGCCGACCAACATCACCCTGGAGGAGCGGCGCCTGATCGCCTCTCCGTGGTTCGCCGCCTCCTTCTGCCTGGTGGGCCTGGCCTCCAACCTGCTGGCGCTGAGCGTGCTGGCAGGCGCAAGGCAGGGGGGCTCCCACACCCGCTCCTCCTTCCTCACCTTCCTCTGCGGCCTGGTGCTCACCGACTTCCTGGGGCTGCTGGTCACCGGCACCATCGTGGTGTCCCAACACGCCGCCCTCTTTGACTGGCACGCCGCCGACCCCAGCTGCCGCCTCTGCCGCTTCATGGGCGTGGCCATGGTCTTCTTCGGCCTGTGCCCGCTGCTGCTGGGCGCTGCCATGGCCTCAGAGCGCTACCTGGGCATCACCCGGCCCTTCTCGCGGCCGGCCACCGCCTCGCAGCGCCGCGCCTGGGCCATGGTCGGGCTGGTGTGGGCCGCCGCGCTGGCGCTGGGCCTGCTGCCCCTCCTGGGCCTGGGCCGCTACACCGTGCAGTTCCCTGGCTCCTGGTGCTTCCTCACGCTGGGCAAGGAGCCCCACGATGTGGCCTTTGGTCTGCTGTTCGCGCTGCTGGGTGCCCTGTCCGTCGGCCTGTCCTTTCTGCTCAACACCATCAGCGTAGCCACGCTGTGCCATGTCTACCACGGGCGGGAGGCCGCCCAGCAGCGGCCCCGGGACAGTGAGGTGGAGATGATGGCCCAGCTCATGGGCATCATGGTGGTGGCTAGTGTCTGCTGGATGCCCCTGCTGGTGAGTACCGGGAGGGGAGGCCAAGAGAAAATAATGCCGCTGGCAGCCCCGAGGTGGGGCGTTTGAGCCGGAGCATCGCTGGCTGTGTAGGGGTTCGCCACTCAGGAATCCGCAGGCGGCTTCCCCACCCTTGGCCGACCCGGTGGAGGACACCCGGGCCTTGAACTTTCCAGCCAGAGAGCACAGCCCATTCAAAGGCCCAGGGGCAGGAGCAGCCCTAGAGCCTGGGAGGGACAGTAAGGGGACCTGTGTGGTCAGAGCAGAGTGAGGAGTGGAGGGGAGGGGCGGGGAGGGGTGAAGCCGAGTGGGCAGGGTCATGGGGGTGGTGGAGGACTCTGGAACTGACCTGAGGGAAGTCAGGGACCCCACCCCTCCACCCCATGGGCTGTGGGAAGAGAGGGGAGAGGCCCTAGCTCAGGTGCTCACTGGCGACCTCTGGCTGCTGTGGGGAGAACAGACGGTGTGGTGTGAGGGCCGGATGTCAGGGACCAGGGTGGAGGCCACTGTCCTGGTTCAAGTGGGCGTGCGGGGCTGGAGCCAGGGTTGGGGTAGAAGTGGGTGGACGGGAATAAGACATGGTGTGTACTACACAAATAATAACGTCCATACACTATCGACACAGTAGGAACCTTTCAGGGGTCGTGGTCAGGCATGGGGCGGCTAACTGCAAAGTCAGCAGTTCGAGCCTACCGGCTACTCCGCAGGAAAAAGACGAGGCTCTCTACTCCTGTAAAGAGTTACAGGAAATCTGGGAAGCACACAGGGGTGGTTGTAGCCTGTCCTGCAGGGTCGCTGTGAGTCAGCATCACCTCCCTGGGAGTGAGTTCGCTTTTTAAAAATTGATAGGGTGGCTGTGACAGTGGGCTCACAGATAGCAGCAGTGGGAGGGGTGGTCCAGGACCTGGCCACGTTTTGTTCCCTTGGTGCAGGGTCCCGCTGCACCTCGGAACGGGCTCAATGGGACCCACCAACAGCAACCTTACGGAGCAGCTGGTGGTGGAGCGGGTGTTGTGTTGGGCTGCTCACCACCAGGGCAGCAGTTCAAATCCACCAGTCTCCTCAGAGAAGATAAATAACCCTTTCTGCTCGGGTAAAGACTTACAGCCTCAGAAAGCCATAGGCCAGGGGTAGTTCTTCCCTGTGGGTGGAGTCAACTCAGAGAGCAGGGAGGGAGAACCACAAGGTGGGGAGTTCAAGCCCACTACTGGCTCCTCTGGAGGCAGAGGAGGCTGCCAGCTCCAGTAAAGAGTTGCGCAGTTCTACAGGTCGCTTTGAGTGGTAATGGGCCCGAAGGCAGTACTTTTCTTTGTTGGGTTTGAGCTTTGAGAACTTCCCTCAGGAGTCTGAATGAAACGCACAGTAGTGGGTGGGCTCTGAAACCAGGCCTGGAATGAGACCAGACTCCTAGGAGCTGCCACCCTACAGCGTTCCCTACCCCGCGGGGCCGCCCCGGGGCTCAGCTCAGGCCCTGCAGATTTGCACACGCGCAGACAACACAGGGACACACCCCGGGCCCCCGCTCCCCCCACTGTGGCTGAGGGGTCAGGGGCTTTTCTCCATACAGGGCAAAGAGGAAATGCTTTGGGCTTCAAAGGCCAGTTCTCTGTCTGACAACTTAACCCTGTCACTGT